TGGCTTTATTTAATTTCATGTCTTTGCTTTTGTGAGATGGAGTCTCAGTAGCCCATGTTGGCCTGGGATTTACTATTTAGCTGGAGATGACCTAGAATTCCTGATCCTCCAGCTCTCACTCCACAATGCTGAGGTTATAAGTGTGCAGCACCAGAACTAGTCTGTCTCGTAGCTTTAAATGTCTCCCCAAACCTCTCCTCACATTCCCTATGCACCTCTATCCCCATCTACTCCCCCTTACTGAACTCCTTCCGCAATTTTACTGAAAAAAAAAAAAAGATGCTTTTGTCAATAATCACAGATGAGCCGTAGAAGGAAATCATCCTTAAAGGACTCAGAGTGGTCCTCTGTCAGTGCTCTTAGGAGGTGACACCGTCAATAGTGTTGGCCAGTGTGTTCTTGGTAAAGCAGCTGTAACTCAAAAGAGTCTCTCCCTTCAATTAATTAAGAAGAAAGATAAGTAACAGGGTTAATAAAGAATTATTTGATGTGGCCAAACGAGTGACAGGAATTTTTATCATCGTGAAACTGATTCAGCTAAGAAGCTTAACTGTCGAGGATTCTCCAGAACTGGGATCTGTATTGGTTCATAAGAATATGTTGCTGGGAAACATCTGGTTTAGGGCCAAGTGTTCCGGGAATAAGTTACCTACCATGTGCTGGGTCTAGATCTGATTCTCCAACACCAGGAGAAAACAAAAAACAAAATAAAACAAAAACAAAATTCAAAACCTTGTTTGAATTTCTTGTTTGTTAATTTGATGGGTAGTTAAAATACTAAGGGGTAGGAATTCTCTGTCAATTGTTTGAAGTGTTTCAAGAGGAATAAAAAGAGTTTAATGAGTTAATATAGAAGTTAACCAAGGTAATTTTATAATTTATTTTCTGTAAAAATATAAATACAGGAGTCTTTGATTTCCCACTAGGAAGGCAGACACGGACAGGGATGTTATTGTGTGGTGGGCTGTGTGAGTATCTTTGGCTAGAATGCTTCATTTAAAATGTGACAGACGATCAAGAGATCACAGAGCTTAGATACATCAAGGTGAAGAAGAGTGGGCTGAGAACTCAATAGGCCTTCCCAGAACTCTCTGCTTTTCCTTGAAATGGAACAATACCCAAAGCAGGTAAGTGTAGAGGAGGGAGATAAGGAGGAAGGAGTCAGAGAGAGAGGGAGTGATTTGGGTGTAGTTATGCCGCCAGATTAATTTACTTGGGTGTTATTGTGGATGGTTTTGTGCACTGTGTGTTCATATGCTGATTTCTATGCCCAGGCAGCTAGTTGTAGACTGGACATGATCAAGCATCTTCCGTCTCAATGTTATGTAAAAACGTTTCCATTATCTCCAATTAGTTAATAAAGAGCTGATTCTGCCAATAACTGGGCAGAGGAAAGTGGGAAGGCGAGACTTCCGATTCGACTCAAGAAAGGGTTCCCAAAGAGACAAGAAAGAGAGAGAGTGGAGATGAAGGGGAAGAATGTGTGGAGAGACCATGTGGAAGAACCAGGAAGAGTCGCCATGAAAACACACATTGAGCAGAGGAAACCTGAGCAAGACTCAGATTACAGGTAAAGGAAACAGACTCCATGACTGAGAAGTGGACAAGCTAGCATAGTAGAGTTAAAATAGATGAGTATCTGCCCAGCTGTAGGACTTGTAGCCTTTTAAGAAATGTATTAGGCTTCTGTGTAGTTCATTCAGGAGCTAAATCTGTTTAGAGCTGGTATGTAAATACCCTGTCGTTATTTGAGAGCAGAGGGGCTAAAGCAAATCCCACAAATTATTTTTACAGGGTGTGGTGCAGCTCTTTGGGACACTGAGGCAAGAGGATCACTTAAGCTCCTGAGTTCAAGACCAACCTGATGTCCCAGAATTCAATCCCCAAAAGCCAAATGATGGAGAAAACTAACTCCTAAATGTTTTCCTCTGACCCCCTTACACATGGTTGGTATGCAATAAATCAGTGTAAGTTCTAAAAATCTAAAAACCTAAAAAACATAGTGAAAGTTTGACCCTGAACCAAAAGAATATAAAAGTTACAAAGTCTTTGGCCCAGGAGAGCATACACACTCATGCTGAGCCTCACATAAACAGGTTGAACAGAGGTTGACAGTATGGCTTAGTTTTGTCTAGTGTGAAGCCCTAGTTTCTATCTCTAGCAGTGCAAAAGTAGAGGGGTAGGCTGGCATGGGTAGGGTGACTTGGCAAGCATGAAGACCTATAGTCTGATCCCCATGACCCACAAAAAAATGCTGGGCTGCAACTGTCATTAGAGAGGCTTCCTCTAGCAGAGACCCAGAGCCAATCATTATGTGGAGCTTAGGGGAACCCTCAGAAGAAGAGGAGGAAGGATTCTAGGAGCCAGAGGGATGCCAAGTGAACATGGCTCACAGAATCAACTAAGCAGGGCTCATAGGGATTCACAGAGACAGAAGTGACAGTCACAGAGCCCACATGGGTCTACACTAGGCCCTCTCCATACATCCTGTGGTTGTTTAGCTTGGGATTTTTGTTGGACTCCTAACAATGGGAGTAGGGGTTCTCTGACTCTTTTGCTTTCTAGTGGGACCCTTTTCCTCTTACTGGGTTACCTCATCCAGCTTTGATATGAAGGTTTATGCATCTTGCGATTCAGTGTTCATATCCCTAGGAGGCATGCTCCTTTCAGAAGTGAAACAGAGGAGCAGTGAATCTGGGGGAAAGGAGAGATTAGGGGTGTGGAGACTGGTAGGGATGTATTATATGAGAAGAAAAAATGCTGAGCTCAGAGGCACCTGCCTGTCATCTCAGTGATGAAGAGGCAGGGACAAAAACTCTCTGAAGCTCACTTGCTAGACAGTCTAGCCTAATTCCCAGCCAGGGAGAGACCCTATCTCACAGGAGTTGGATGGAGTTCCTGATGATGGTGGCATCTGGGGTTGTCCTCTGGCCTACATATTCAAACTCAGGTATTTATATTAGCCTTGTCTTTTGGGAAGAATAAGAAAGTTTAATGTAAAAACTAGCCACTCTGCACGCCCTCTTTCCTTCCCTAAGGGCTTAAAGGAACAGATGAACAGAGAGCAAAGAATCAGTTGAAGGGAGAGACTGCTGGGTTGCACGTGGCTGTTGTAGGCACTTGTACTGTGCATATGGACAAAGGGGATGACCACCTGCTCCCCACATGTGCTTCTGTGGTCCAGAATAGAAATGGGGTTGTTCATGAGAGCACTTTGGGCAAGCGCAGATGGAGAAAGAAAATGAATAAAAAAGACAGTGCAAACAAATAGCCAGTCCTGTGACCCAGCATAAGTGCAGGATGGTATGCAGCTGTAGAGGATTCCTACTAATACCAGAGAAAGAAAAAAAAATTCTGAGAGGACAGCACAGACACAGGGACCTTAGTGAGCGGTGACTAAGAATTACATCAAATCCTCCATGGGGGATCAAAAGTTAATAGCAAAATTATTCCATAGATCTTTGTGTTAGCTCATATGCATTTTGATTAGGTTACCAATTTGGCCCACTCTCTACTCTTTCTTAATAAAATAATTCAATTGAACTCAACTTCTTTGGGAGTCTATCTGTGTTTGTGAGTAGGCACGTGCCTGTGCAGGGGTCAACCTTGGTGTCATTCCTCAGTGTAGTGTCAGGGAAAGATTAGTGAGCCCCCAAAAACAAACAGGAGCCAATTCAATCTAATCACAATGGGATCTTTTTATTTTATTTTATTTTATTTTATTTGAGCTAGCTCAAGCCCCTTAGCACACCTCTGTCACACAGGATGATTTTGGTGATGAGGAGCCCCAAATATCTACTGGGACAAGGCTTTATAGTAAGGAGCAAGTGGGGGTGGGGTTAAGTGTGCAAGCATCTAATTGGAAAGCCTTTAACATAATTGGCTGGTGTTGGGAGTCAAACCATAAACTTGATTTCTATTTCCGTCTCTATTGGTGATCCTTAGGTAGGAGGTGGGCTTGTATCCTGGGTGGTGAAGATCTGTTGGGGTATGACCTGTAGACTCTGGTCTTCTTGGGGATGTAACCTGGAGACACAGGTCTTGTTAGAGGTGAGCCTAGAGACTGGAGCTAGGTTTGGGTTTTTGTTGTGGGGTAACTTGGAAACTAATATTAGGTACCGGCCTGTTAGTTTACCTGAGTTCAAACTTAGGTCAGGCTCTCTAAAATGGAGTCTGAACTTAAAAGACTTGGCCTCTTGCTCAGGAGCTGCCACCTTGATTGTTTTTTGTTGTGTGTGTGTTAGATATGTGTGTAGAGCTCAGAGGACAGCTTGTGGGAGTCTGGTCTCTCCTTCTACCATGTGCATTCTGGAGAGTAAACTCAGGTCATTACACTTACTGGCAGGTGCAAGGCCCCATCTAAGAAAAAAAAGAGAAATTAAAAAAAATTTATGCTTGCCTGTGTGTATATACATGTACCGTATCCATGTCCGATACCCACGAAGGCCAGAAAACGGCATCAGAATTCCTGAAACTAAAGTTACAGTTACTAGCTGCCACACACATGATGGGACTGGAACCTGTGTCCTCTGCAAGAGCAGCAAGAATTCTTACCTGCTGTGATGTCCTCCCAGCCCTCAACCTTGTTTTTGAGACACATTACTTGTGGAATCTAGACCTCACCTAGTAGATGAAGGATGGCTAGGCAGTAACCTCAGGGGCCCACCTGTGTAAGTACACACCATCATACCCGGCTTTTTACATGGGTGCTGACGATCCAACTTGGATCCTTAAGCTTATGTAGAGAGCACTTTACCTACTGGAGCCATCTCCCCAGCTCAGATCTATAAAGCTCTGAGTTACAAATAAATAATCTACAACATCGGCTCTTAACCTGTGGGTCTCGACCTCTCTGGAGGTCGTCTATCAGCTATCCTGTGTATCAGATACTCACGTTATGATTCATAACAGTAGAAAAATCACAGTTATGAAGTAGCAACCAAATATTTTATGGCTTGGGTCACCACAACATGAGGAACTGTATTGAAGGGTCGCAGCATTAGGAAGGTTGAGAAGCACTGGTTAATGACAGCGAGATGTCCTTTGTAAGTGTCATTCACATTCTTGGTGAGCAGCCCACCTCAGTGGTGTCCCTCGGAGCAATGGGAAGAGGGCTTTGCTCCAATCTCTGTGGGCTTCATTTCATGCTTGTGGGAATAGATCCTAATGGCATAAAAGAGCTTCTGATTCTGAGGAGAGAGGCTGGAGAAACAGAGAAAGACAATGGAGATCTCACTCTTTAACTATTTCTTTATTTTTCTCTTTCACCTCTTCCAAATTACATACTCTCCTGAAGAATGAGGCTGCCATCCCCCAGGTTCACAGGCACCCTGGCTGAGGCAGCAGCTTGGGTACCCTCTCTCCCTAGGACTGTTCATCCTGGCAAGACTGAGAAACTCACCTTGTCTGAGGCCTCCTTCCAAGAAAGCCTCAGCTAACTTGTAAGGGTCACAGGCATTGCTCTGCTCTGCTTCTGCCCGCTCTCATAACACCCTGTACTCAAGTCTAATGCCTTCAAAGCTAATGTTGACTTCACCACGAAACCACCTCAGAATCTCACACTTCCTCTGCCTGCCAAGACACTAATCTCTGTCTCTCTGTCTCTGTCTCTGTCTCTCTCTCTGTTTCTCTCTCTCTCTCTCTCTCTCTCTCTCTCTCTCTCTCTCTCTCTCTCCCACTCCCTCTCCCTCTCCCTCTCCCTCTCCCTCTCCCTCTCCCTCTCCCTCTCCCTCTCTCTGTATGTGTGTGTGCTCACAGATGTCAGGTGTTTTTCTCAATTGTTTCCCACAACACATCTTTATTTTTTTAAGACTCGGTGGATCGCTCACTGAGCTCAGTCTAGTCTAGCTTGCCAGCAACCCTCAGGGAATCTCCTTGTCCTCTATGCACTGGGATTGTAGGTACACACTACTGCACTGGCATTTATGTGGGTGCTGGGGATCAAACTCGGGTCCCTGTTTGATCAGTAAGGACTTTACCTACTGAGTCATCTCCCCAGCCCAGTATCTTTCTGCCCATCTTTGACTGTGGTTTCTTCAAAGGGGGAGCTAAATCTTCTTTGCCACAAAACCCCCATCATTTTTCAGGTTGAGTGTTAAGTTGTTTTGGACAACATTATGCTCACTAGGCTTTTATCAAACAAACACAACAGGGGTTAGTGGAAATGAATTTCTGCGTGTGTTATTTCATGTGCACAGAACACATCCTCAGTGTTTTTAAGTGTACTCACTGAGACGTGCTGCATGGGCCACCATTAAGAGGGTGCCTGCCAGCAACTGTTTTCACTGTGGGTTTTTATTGTGAAGCCCTCTGTACAATCTAATACTCTAAAATAGAGTATTTTATCTTTCTAAAAATGTTCTATCCCCCGATTAATAGTATTGTCCATTCCAACCAACCTTCCCCTAACCTACTCTGGACCTGTACAGATTTATCCGCCTGTCCAACATTTCACAGAAATGGAAACATACTATATATGATATTCATGATTTAAATTTCATGCTGATGGACCATTCTGAGACTTCTCTTTTAAAGAGGTCAGCTCCTTTAAATGAATCTTTGGCAAAACCCACTGTCGGAGGGAAAGATCATCAATCAGGCAGGAAGAACACTGCCTGACCTTTTTGAGGTCGTTTGTGTCTTAAGGTGGAAGAACAACACCAGCACACAAATAAACAACTCCTGTTTTAAAAAAAAAGCAAACGTTTGGGGAGAAAACAAAGCATAACACTGGACAGCTGCCCTCTCCCAGGTTGACTCTCAACAGTGGACTCTTCTGGTCCCTCCACATGCCCTGTGTGGAGAATTATCAAGTTTTTGGAGCAGGCCTAATGCACCTTCTCTTGTTCATAGGTTGAGGGACAATTAAATCCATCCTCTTTCAGGCAAATAACCACAAAACTTCATGACCAACATCATGTTTAAATTAAATATCTCTCCAATTGGGATGTGACTTACAGTGGCTGCTGGTCTGCTACCAACCATGCAGAAGTACCACTGTTGGCCCAAGTTCAAACCTATGATAGCTTGTTCCATTGGCATGCACTACTTCTGCAAGTTCTCAGGTTGTTTACAAGTCTATCAGCATGTGGATTCTGTGATTCTCTGACACAGCCCTTCTACAGAACCCATTGTGCCAGATATCCTGGAGGATTGTATAATCTGAAACCAAGTAACATCCATGAGATATTGCAGCTGCAAGGTCATTCATAAGACACAGCATCTGCATAATAAAAAGCTTTAGGAATAGGTTTATGGTCCTAGTCATGAGTTCCCTTCTACAAAGTGGATCTTAAGGCCACTCAGACAGCTTTTGGTTACCCTGAAGATATTAGTGCCACTATTACACTACTAGGCTCATCTTGCTATTTGCTTTATTGCAGTTTGACATATTTTATAGCTGGGTAGGAACCTTGCTAAGTTTTCTCCTTTGGTAGCCTGCATAGCACTTCTGACACTATGAGAGCTTTTAGGTCAGTACCAGATTGATTTCTTTAAGGCTGGTGACCAAAGGGTGTGGTATCATCAGCAATAAGATCTTACCCTTAAGTCCTGGCAGCCAACCAAGAGCAATGGCAATCACTTGTATCACTTTGAGGGGTCTCTAGAGCATAGGTAAGAATTTGTGACTGGAGAGACCACACAGGTCCTAGGGGAGAACTTACTTCTGCTATCGTCTTGCTAAATGGATACAACACCCAACTGTCTTCTCAAAGCTTATCCTCATAGCCATAGGTAAGTGAACCTCTTACCCCTCATCCAAGCATCCCCTTTTGCAGGAGATGATGGCTACTACAGAAAGCCACAACTCATCAACATACAGAGAATAACTGTGGGTTGCTCATCGCTAAATAGGACAACTGTAACACAACTCCAATATCCCAAGACTCATGGAACATCATGGAAGAGGAGATGGAAAAGTTACAAGGGCCAGAGCCATGGAGGACTGCTATGACACAGTCTTCTTATTTGACACAGTCTCCTTATTTGCTTCCATGGACTCTCAACAGGTATGGTGACCTGCACAGGGCCATACCAGTCAACATTCTAACATGGATGAGGGAAGGGCTCACAAGGCCTCAGCTATAGGCAATTGAGGACTCCCGGGGGGAGGAAGAGTCAGTTTTCTTCAAGGGTAAGTCCCCCTGTATAGATTGCTCATGCCTCAGTGGCCAGTCCCAACCCATGTGCATATAGGCAACTCTAATTGGACTTAATGTTTATCTATAAACAATAATTAAAGAAGAGGACATGAATTTGAAAGAGGGTATAGGGTGTATGGGTAAAGTTGGGGACAAGGGGTGAACATGATAAAAATTCATTGTACTTATGTGTGAAATCTTAAAATGCATATATATATATATGTATGTATAAAATCAGAAGTTTTAGAGATGCCCTAGATCCAGAATTTTCTATGTAGCTCCAGCTGTCCTGAAACTCTCTATGTAGAACAGGCTGGCCTTGACCTCACAGAGATCTACCTGTCTCTGTCTCCAGATGTGTGCCACCATGCCCAGCTCAACCTTTTTTCTTTTTATGTACGCACAAGAGTGAAGCATGAGGTGAGATGGCTCAGTTGTTGACCTGTTCTTCCAGAGGACAGAGGACCTGAGCTTAGTTCCCTACACCCACACTGGGGAAGCACAGCAGCCTGTAACTCCGGCTCCAATGGACCTGCCACCATCTTCCAAACTCCTCGGGCACCTGTTCACACATGGTGTGCACACGTTCGAGTGTACACACACACACACACACACACACACGAATAAAAATGAATCCTTTTCAAAAAGTGAAATGCAATCCATGACTAGGCTCAAAGGAGCATCCCAGGGCTGATGACATATTAAAACCCTTGAGTTCGAGTTTAATTGGCAGGTATCTGTGTCTGTCTTCATGTGCATAAAAAAAAAGATACCTTTTATGCTTACATTTTGCATCTTAGGGCCAGCAAATCCCTGATGTGTTGTCTCATTCTGTATCCTCTGGGAATCTGGGGAGGAAGAAACCAAGCAGGGTTCTCAGAGAGCCTAGCCAGGAAAGCTCAAAAGATGAGCCCCAATTGAAGAACTGCTAAGGGGACATCTCACACCTGGTGCTTGTATAGAAAACAGCAACAACAGAAGCCACGACAGAGACAGGCAAGCTGGGATACAGAAGATTCTAGTGGGATTCCTTTTTCCGAATGCTGGCAAGCAGCCCGGAGACAGCTCTACAAGCTCCCGGAATCCACTGGAGGATTGCAGAACTCTATAAACTATACGCTGACATCACCCTTGTCTGGGCAGAGACAGGAGCAGCGGCTGCCCAAGAAGGGCTTTTCAGCATCCCTAATGAAGCAATCACCATAAACCAGAGTGAGAGAGGGAGTGTGTTCACCCTGGCTCCTCCGCCCAGGAGTTCCACGGCCCAGCCACCAATTAACTTTAGAGTTCCATCTGCCTTTCCTGCCAAGCTCTCCCATAAAGGAATTTATCACCTTCTGTTCTGCTTTTCTTCCCAAATGTGAATCAGAAGTGCGCAGTACTGTTTAAAAAGGCACTTTCAGCAAATCTGATTACTCTCCAAGCACCTTTACACAGAACTAGCAAGCTCTTCTGCCCGCCCTCTCGTGGCTTTATTAACGATGCTGCCTCAAAGCTGGCTGTTACATTGAGCCAATAAGAAGAAGCCCTTGTTTCCCAGGCAGGCACTGTTCTTAGGGACTCTTATCTCCTTACTGAGTCCTCAAGGCAATCCGTTAAGATCCTTGCCCGTACTCCTCCCGTGTTGTAGATGAAGAAACTGAGGCATAGTTGAGTTAAGAAACAGATCCAAAGTCACTCAGCTCCAGGCAAAGGAGTTGGGGTGATTGACCCAGTCTAGCTGCCCTTGCGTGATCTTCACAGTGCTTGGCTGTGAAGAAGAGCAAAAGCTGCTCTATACTTTGCCTTATTCTTAGTGAAGAATGAGACGCAACGCCCCCCCCCCCCCGGTTTTATCACCTTTAGAAGTTGTCATTTGGTGTAATTAGGAGTCAGAGAAGCCGTGGTTGAAATGGGACCAGGCACTGCCCTTGATGATCCTTCTTCCTGGCCTGTGAGGTGGCCTTGGGGACTTGGGAAGGGAACTAGGGGATGATGTGGGCATTAAATTAACAGCTGGGAAACCTCTACCTAAATGCCTCTTGCTATTGATGAGTTACCCAGGACCTCAGAGAAGCATCTGGATTTCCAAGGCTTCCAGCTTGTCAGGGCCAGAGCTCTGTTTGGGGCACGCTCTCCAAACACGCCTCTGCTCGCCTCTGCTGGGCTCCCTGGCCCTGACCCAGCATGCTGCCTCCCCATGTCAGTTAGCGCCTGCAAATCTGTCTTAATGAAGACAAACAAATGTGCTCATCACAACTGAGCTCAAGTGTGAATGAGGCGATCGGGGTGCACGCCCCTGCCTCACTACGCCTGCTCAGGGTATCTAGCAGGGGTCTAGGACAACACTGCTCAGCTTTGTGCACACGCTTCTGGGGAACCGTGGCAGGTCTCTCGAAGGACCCACGGCGTCTCCGTACTTGAAAAATCAAGTCTCAACGTCAAGAGAATTTTTTGTCCAGTTATTAGTTCATCCCCTGTGGTTGTTCCATCGCCTGTTCTTCTAACCTACAATAAGGTCTAGAAAATCCAAACCACCTGAGAGTATTTGAAAGGCTCCTTCAAGTTGATATTAACTGTTTGTGAGAGCGTAAACCCCTGACTTCTGCCTGGCTCACTTTGTACTTGCATGAGGGCGCACAATGCAGCATTGTTTGGAAGGCATTGAGGCTTAAAAATGAATCTGTTTACTGTCCCTTGAAGCAAGCACTATCAAGACTTTTTCAGAGGGCTCCAACCAGACCCGCCGAAGTGATCCTGGAGTAACAGTCACGTATAATTACTGCTCCACCGTGTCTGAGTTCACGAAGAAGAAACGGCCCTTTGATTGCAACACTTGGCTTTGTGTTAACTGAAGCTTTACCACCTGACATGGAGTTTAACAACTTTTTCATAACTCTGGCTGCACTCGAGAAAATTCTAGGCAGACTTGCCTACGTTTCTGGCCTTGTCTGATGGTGTTCTGGTAACTTTGGTAGTATGATACAATGTACAACGGGGGGAGGGGAGAGGATTACGGTTTCTGCTCAGCAATGATTTTAAAAACGTCCAGTTTCCTCTGAGTAGAAGCTTTATATTTAGACCCAAGTACAATTACAGTTCTGTGTCTCTAGGTATCCTCCGATATATGTGCTTTTGTCTTTGTAGACTTGGCCAAGTGATTTATACCCACATTTAATTTCTCTCTAGAAATAATGGCAAACCAAGAACTCCAGTTCTTCCTTGCTCTGACCGTAGACACAGAGCATTCCACACTGTAGGGGAAAGAGCTGCACATATATGAACAATGCAGGCACCGAAGGAAGACCCCTCTGCTTTGTGTGAAGGTTGTTATCTTTCTGGTCCTCGCTTAGATTGGGGGTTTGAATCTAGGTTCTCATGAATGACAAGAGCTCTTATCCCCAGGCCTCACCCAATTCTTAGCCACCCATATTCTGGGGCATTGTCTTATATAAATGGAAATAGCTTACTCAACATTCTGTTACTGAGGTGAAACACCTGAGATCATCAACTTAACAGGAACAAAAAGCTCACAGTTCTGGTCCTTAACTACTTGTTCCTATCATTTTAGGCCTATGATAGTTCTGTACATCATGGTACGGGATGTTGATTCATTCAGGAGGCTTCTCCACCTCATGGTAGCCAAGAGCTACTGCACCTGATGCCATAATCCCAGCACTCGAAAGAGACAGGCAGGGGACACTGTCTCAAAAACAAAAACAAAACTGAACAAAAATCTCCTGCTAACCAGGAAGCAAATAGGGAGAGAGAAAGGGTTGAGTCCCAAAATTTCCGACCTAAGTATCTTTCACTGCCAGACATGTCCAATCTGTGAGCCACAGGATGTATGAAGTCAAGAATAGCTATGATTAGCTGGGTGTGGTGGCTCATACTTTTAGACCCAAGACTGGAGAAGCAGAGGCAGGTGGCTCTCTGTGAGTTCCAGGGCAGAGCCTGGTCTACACAGTAAGTTCTAGAATAGCCAGGGCTATGTGGACAGACCCCATCTCAAAAACAAAACAATAGCTATGAATGTCCACCAACACAAACCACAACCTGACTTAAAACAGGAGAGTTTTTAGCAATTGTTTGTAAGTCAGTTAGCACCCTTTTCCTGTATGAACTCTGGAGGCTTTGTCAGTACCGTGTGACCATGCATTGAAATGTCCAAAGATTAGACTGACTAGGGAGACTACATCCTCCCTCTAAAGGTTCTGTCTCCTGTCCAAAGTATCATGGGCTGGCAGGCAAACTTCTAATGCCCAAGTCTTTAAGGGATAGTCCAGACGGAAGCAACAGAGCTGGGATTCGGCCAGGTGGCAGAACACCTACCTAGCAAGCACACAGCCCTGCACTTATCTCAGCTGCTAGGGGAAAAATCCAAATGAAAGCAGCAACCAAGTATGAAAAAATTAGAAATACCACCCTTTGAAAAGTATTCTACTTACAATAAATGCTAGTAGAGTGATTTTTTCCCCTGAGGAATTTTTTAATACAGTCACTGTGCAGCGTACACATGAATAGTAACTCCTCCCAAAAATACCTTGCATGACCCAAGAGTTATGTGGAAAAGGTCCATGGGTTTTCTGTTGTATTTATCCTGTCAAAGAACAGCTATCCTCCTTGGTTTAGCCTGTTGTGAACTAATCAAAAAGGTAGTCAAAACATTCTTACAATATGTTATATTTTTACTGACTTCATAGATACAAACATTCATTTCCTTGGTTAAAACATCCCAATTCCAGAAGCAAGTTTGAAGGGCAAAATGGACAACAAATGATTCTTGGGATAAGAGGAATGGATGGGAGCTTGGGGAGCTTACCAAGTGTTCTTTGAAGGACATACAATCCACGTGGGGCAAATTCACTTCTCATACACCCTTATCAAACGTGCTGGTGTCAAGCCAGCAGGGCACAAGTGTCTCTGTACCAGCTAATGCCACCCTGACCATTGTCAGTGATAGGATCTCTTCAGACTAGAGGACTGGAACTGAGCAGACCCAGCAGGCTTATAACCCACGTGGACCCTTGACATTTTGAGGGGAAGGAACTGGACTGAAAATTAATGGGATGTCTGTCTTCTAAAGCTTGTGTCCAGCCAGAGCTCAGTTCTTCCTGAAACATTCCCACACACACATGGCATAGTAATGAGACAGATCACTGTCTCAGAGTGTGAAGAACCAGGGTGACAAATGGTTAAAAAACCACAAGGCAAAAGAGATAGGTCATCTTATACTTAGGTCAGGTTGATACGCTGTATTTTCATATGCCTCTGAAGTCATTTTACATACACAAAGAGCATTCCCCTTCGGGTGAAATGACACCCTTTCAAAATGGCAAAGCAGGACATAAGAAAGAATCACAGCAGGTTAAATATGCTCTGAGCTACAGTTTTCTGTGTGCAGATGCCCGTCGTGAGTAGCTTGTAAAATCAGCCACTGTGACCGGTCCCGCGCCGTCTCTGCTGATTTTACAGATACTTAGCAATGCGGCTGCCTCTCCAAGGGCAGGCTCCAGCCTGACGTTTGCACAGCCAGCAGAAATAATTTCTTGTGGGAGATAGAATTTCGTCGTTTAGCAATATTCCATCACAGAAAGCTGCACCCTCAGCCACACACGCTGTCTATTACAGGGGGAGGTGGCTGCCCTTCCCCTGGCTGCTTCCCTTCAAATTAGTAGGCAGCCAGCAGGTAAATCAATGCCTTTTATACAGGATGGCAGGGCAGATGCTATAGGGCTCTTTAGTGGGAATATTTATCATTCGAGGTGGGTCATAAGGTTTTTACAAGTTGTATTTTTTTTCTCGATTATCAGAGGGAGTCATGTTCAACAAAAGAAAATTCTAAAAAAAAAATTAAGGAAATCTGAGAAAATATTTATTTCAGTTATTCATAGATAATCACTTTAACTTTCTAGTGAGATCTGTACCTTCTTAAACAGCTGATGTGCCACATAGCTTGTAAGCTGGTTCCTCGCCTGATATTATATTACAGATATTGCACCTTCAGCTGCCTTCTTTTGTGGTTTAACTGATATTTTATTTTGTGTTTGTGGATTTTTTTGGGTTTTTTTTTTTTTGGTTTTTTGTTTTTTTTGTTTTTTTTGGTTTTTCGAGACAGGGTTTCTCTGTGTAGCCCTGGCTGTCCTGGAACTCACTCTGTAGACCAACCAGTCTGGCCTCGAACTCAGAAATCTGCCTGTCTCTGCCTCCCAAGTGCTGGGATTAAAGGTGTGAGCCACCACTGCCTGGCATGTTTGTGGGTTTTTAAAGTACATGTATGTGTGCCTGAAGTGGCATGTTCATGAGTGTGTGTATATAGATATAGAGATAGATAGATAGATAGATAGATACTTGTATAGATATATATACACATCGTGGCACTAAAAAATTATTTTGTGAATTAATCAGAAAATATACTGCTGTACTTGTTGGTTGTATACCACCTGCCAGCGACATTCCCAAAGCAGTTCTTTTTGATATGAAGGTAAGGAGCTCTAGAGAGCAGAGCATGAGATGAAAAGAACACAGCATCTTCTTCCTTCTCCAGATTTTCATCTCTCCTTCGCTGTCCCTCCTCCACTGTAATAGTTAATACTGGCTTTTAGCTT